ATATATATATATATTTACGTTGTTAGGGTAACTTTTTTTGTTCTACTGACTACTTACTGTATGGTAAAAAAAAAAATGCACGTGTACATACGAAAATAAATGAGTGTTGGTTTCATGGGATGTTTAGCATGTATTGTAAATATACAAAAGCAATAGATGATGATGATTGCACAGACGCGATGTGGTCGAGTATTGTAAGATGCACAGTTGGGAGACAGAGGTAGTAATATTGTGGACTCACCGACTTCGTCGGGCTGGTAGTTCTTGATGACGTCGGCGAGCTCCATGTTACCAGCGATCACGGCGACCTGGTAAGGCGTTTGGTTGGCGTAGTTGAGGGCGTCCTTTTGGGCGCCACGGAACAACAATTGCCGTATGCACGAGGAGTCGGTGTTGTTGACCGCGCACACGTGGAGCGGCGTGTTGCCCGACGCGTTGCGGGCGTTCATGTCAGCGCCGTAGAACAGCAGGTGGTCCAGGTGCTGGACCAGATTGTTGCGGCAGGCCTGCGTGGTATCGGTCATTTAACAACACGCCCAGACCAGATAGATGCGCGTTTATACGTGTATTATGCGTATACCGTGTGCATAAGTTGCCCCCCTTTTTTTTATTTTTTTTTATTTTTTTTTTTTTTTGGTCAAGTTTAAGGCGTGGCACGTCTGATTGATTTTTTTTTTTTTTTTCGGCGCGGTCGATGCATATTTATGAGAACATCAGCTTGGGACTGTTGGGCACGCGGAAGTGATGCAAGTAATACTTGTATTGATCGAAGAGTGGCTTGTTCGTATGCGTCTTGTTCTTTTCTTATTCTTATACTATATTCTCGATGGGGGTGTGTTCGTATAGTGGCCCCGAATCATTGAAAATTCAGACGCGGTATATTTCACGCCAACTTGAGTATATGATTGTTTTTTTATTAACTCGTAAACACCTTGGAAGGCAATTTTTCTTTTTTTTTTTTTTTTTCCTAATTAAAGTATATTATTTCTGCTGATGAAGAATTTTCAGTCATCACTACTAGCAATACATAAAAATCAGTTTCAGTACTTTGGATATATATATGAGTGCGCGGTGGCTTGGTCGGCTAGGTCGTGGATAATTGGCACGCGGGAGACCGTGGTTCGATTCCCGGCCATAGTGCGACTTTTTCGGGCAAGTACCTCTGTGATTTTTCACATGTGCTTTTTCACCACGCAATGCTCCTCGAGGAGGGTCTAGGCGACCTTCTAGCAGCAAAATTGCCTAATTTCCCCCAACCCCCCTCCCAGCAATGGGAGGCCTCCCATACCTTTCCCAAGTGCTAAGTGCCCATAGTAGTGCCCTTATTAAAGAAGCCGGACGTGTACAGCACTATAATATAAAAATATATGTATATATACATTTTTTTCCTAAAATTGTTTTTTTACTCTAATTCTAAAGCAAAATTTTTGCTGGATAAAATTTTATTGAAATATTGTACTTTTTGAGAAAAAATTGAAAAAGTATTAGTGCCCAAATTTGACAATGAAAATCAAGACATCGTTGTACTTTGAGCGGTAACTTATGCGTATACTACAACGACCCCCAGCTCATTTGTTTAACTAACGATACCTATATAACTTTGATAACATGTAAATTACCAAAACGAAGATGAATCGTTTATAGTTTGAGGTAAAATCGACACGATGAGAATGTAATATACAGTGAAAATTCACGTAAGCGATCATCCGTAAAAATATATATGCACAAGTATACCTGATGGACCTCCTGCCAGCCCTGTAGATCCTGGGCGCCGATGGTCGCGTGGTCGTGCAGGAGACTCTCGCAGAGCATCGGGTCTGTCTTGTATATGACGCTGTAGTAGAGTGGCGTCAGGCCCTTGGTGTCCTTGTAGTTTGGACTGGCCCCGAGCTCCAGGAGGGTCTTCGCGGCCTCGAGGTTGTTCCGCTCGACCGCCCGGTGCATCGCCGTCAGGCCCTCCTTCGTCCTGTAGTCCAGCAGGGCGCCCCCGTTCACCAGCGCTATTATCACCTTCGAGGGCTTCTTGAGCGTCGTGGCCAACGTCAACGGTGTCTCTGCCCCATGTTGGTTCGCGAACAAAAGAACCATTGTGTCAATATATTGTACGTATACCTATACACGCGATGCTATTACCACGAGTAGCTTACATACATGTACAGTCTATCCCAGAACGGCGGGGCGCAAAAATTCGCAACAACCGTAATACACGAGCACCGAACGCGATACGAGTGCTGATTAGAAAAAAGAAAAAAAGAAAAAAAAATCTATAGAAGAGGAAGCTTCGAGGGCGAGTAGCGTGTAATAGGTATAAGTACGTATGGGTGCTCCCTTCGAAATTCCGATGGGGCGAGCGCGATACGTGCCTTCCATCAGGGCGAGCGAGCGACCTTGGGGCAGCGGTACACGAGGCCTCCTCTTCCTCGCGCTTATCTATCCGCCGCTCTGCTCTACGTATATACGCAAGGACGAGTTTCCACGACCGTTGTATACATATATATATATACACGTGTACATGACCAGGAAGCTGGTGCCTGTGGAGAAATAGGCGCGCGACGCCCGAGTAACGGTAAGGGTTGTGTGTGTTTGTATGTACACACAGGCGCTGGGATATAAGAGAGGGAGCACGCACACGCCCACGTTCGAGGAGAGTTTTTTTTTTTTTTTCCCCCGAGTTTTCGTAAAATCGACAAAACGATGCCTCACCTCCGGTGTCCTGGCAATGGAAGTTCGGGTCGAGGCCCTTGCCGCACATCTTGGCGATCTTCTCGACCTGGCTGTTGGCCACGTAGTCGAGCAGCCTCCGCAGATTCGTCCTCGTGTGCAACGCCTTCAGCTGCTTCTCGTCCAAGTGCAGCATCTTGTAGACCCGCCTTTTGTACTTGAGCTGCTCGAGCAAAAACAAAAAAAAAAAGGCTAAAGTTTACCCTGGCTCCTTGTGTGTGTGTATTTTTGCGACCCACTGCCAATGTGCTCGCGAGCCTCGTAAAAATGTCGTATATGTACACGCATCGCACAAACGTTGACCGTAAACGGCTCGAAAGCGTCTAGCGGGTTGCGATACCCTTTTTTTTTTTTTTTTCAACGAAAGAAGAGACCGCGAAATGTGGCTTTTTTTTGCACCGCAGCATCAGGACAGAGGAGTAAAAAGCTCAGCATCCATCGACTTAACGATTTCTGCGGGGACGCTTGACAGCCTTTTTTATGATACAAAGCAGTACAACGTGCCATTTGTATGAGTTGTTAGTTTTTTTTTTTTTTTTTTTTTTTGTTCGCGTACAGGATACTTTTCACAATGGGAATAAAAGAAGCTCGAGGAAATGTACTGCGGGTAGTTGATTTGAAAGCCTGCGATTATCCGGTATTTACGTCCCTACCGTTTCGAGCGTTTTACGATTTTTCGAAATTAAACTGCGCGTAATTACGGTAAGAAAAAAAAAAACAAGAGTGCGTATGGAAAGCAGAGCGCGTATTATATTACGGGGTTGCGTGAGGCACACTTTGTGCTCGCTTTGGATTACCTAAACGCAAAATCTCGAGCTAGCCGACCGATTAAATTTTACGCCCGAGAAATTGCACACTTTCACTTGTATAAATATTTCCCCACCCCCTTTTTTTTTCTCCGGCGCGAAAAATTGTGCATGTGACCAGTAGTCGGGAAGATGTTTGGCAACTTTTACGCAATCTTCCGACGCGGGATGCAAGTATGAATAGAACTTTCTTAACATGTTTTTAATTTATGTATTTTGTACGTTATGCAGTAGCCATGTACATTTATGGGTATAAAAATGAAATACGGCGTGAGAGTACGGAAGTAAAAACTGAATTCCTTTCATCGCCAGCGGGTAACACAGATCACGTCAAAGCTCAAATAGGCCCTCCTGGCGTCGATATGTGCCATCTCCCGTAATGCATCGACAAGCTATAAAAAAAAACACGGCAGTAACTACACCCCGACAATGACAATGGAGTAAAAGGGAGGGAGGGATGTCAGCCACTTGCGCGCGTGCTATTATTATGTCCAATATTATCAATATCGTCGATGCTGGTGTGCCTAAATGTATATCCCTATATTGGCCGTTCAGTCGAATAGTTGTGCATAGAGGAGCGATGCTATCGCGCTGATTTGAACGAGCACGCGTAACTATACAGATATACGTATATGTAAGTGCGTGTAATGAGTAAGTGCGCGACTCGAGGCTGCTGTATAATATACATCAACGCTGATCTTGCACGCACTGCGTCGCTTTTATACTCAATCTTTTTTGCCGATGTTGGACATTCCGCGCGCAAGTGTGCACTAATTTAAAGATAGTTTTGTAGCAGCGAAGGGGCGAGGGAGACTTTTCAAGGGACATTGGAAAAAGTGATTCAGGAAACTGTCGTCTCGATCAGCTGCCAATAACATAGTATACTCGTGTATTCATCTCCCTCTAATAGGGGAGTATTACGAAACGCTGTAATTTTCATTTGATTTGAGGACGGAAGACGGAAAGTTGCACTTATCGAATTAATAACCATATGATAATGCTCAGGAACCAGTAGCGCGGCGTATGTCGTTAAACCGTAAAAGCTGTCATTTCCGTGAAACATTGTCCTCGAGCGAGCCGGTGGCAACAATTTCCGTCCCGCGATCGAAATTCACGCGGAAGGGACAAGAGCACCCATCACCAGTCCCCCCTCCACCCCGTGTTGTGTAAGTATAATACACGATGCACCTTATACTCCCGAGCATCTCGGAAGTGAGGGAGAGCCAAGTGGCGGAAAAAAGGAGCCACGTCCACGTCGTCGTCGTCGAGCATTACACGGGCTCGTTACGCGGCTTTGAAACCGTATAGCAGAGCCTGTATATATAAGCGGTACAACAGTATATATACAGCTCGGGACCGTTATTGCAGTGGCGAAACACGCCTCGGATAACACCGCACGGATGCCGATGGACCGCGAGAGGGAGAGGCGCGTTTGCTACAGTTCTCCGGCCCATTATATTAGCCGCCGATGCCACTCGATTCTCTCACCCCACCCCACCCTTGCTTCTCTTTTGTTGTGTACGGTTATACCCTCATTCCCTCCTCCGATCGGAGCACCATTTTTTTTTTTTTTTTTTTTTTTCTTTTTTCCAGTTTTAACTTTGACTTTGAGATCCGTCCGTGTTAATAAATGAGCACACAGCGACGCTTTTTGCGCGATTTATTTATCTTAGCGGCCCCTCGGCGAGTAAACTCCATAGATCCTCGTAATAACCCTATTACTTTTTCATAGCCAAAGAAGAAGAAGAAGAAGAAGGAGCGTGTGTATATAAATCGACGCGCTCTTTCCTCCTATTTCCTCTTTGAGAGCTAGGGTATATCCCTCGCGAGAGAAAAAAAAAGCTAGTCCGCGTAACGAGGCACGGAACCGGAGAGAGAGAGAGAGAGAGAGAGGGAAAAAAAGGCCTGGAGCGAGTTGTACGTGTGCGACGTTAAAATGACAGCCGCCGGTGTCTTGGTCGTGCCCATCTACCAGTAGAGGAGGAGTCGCGCGGAGAATAAGGAAATCAATTTGACGCGATGATACTTGTGTGTGTGTGTGTGTGTACTCGGTGATGCCCGCGCCACGCCTGAGCTCGTTCAAATATACAGAGGGAATTTGCAGGGGCTGTTGCAATGCGTGCGAGAGCTGAGATTTTACATTTTTTTTTTTCAGTAAAAGTGTGATTATTATGGTGAAACTACGGGGATTCCAACAGTATGGATGATGGTGTACACCAGCCAAGTATCGCCGTACGCGTCCGACCGTACTCGACCCTCATCTACTACTTTAGCACATATTACGTTGAGGACGTTGTTATTCAATAACCCTTTTTCAAACAATCCCTATATTTTACGTATATACGGTTTTATGAACACAATGGGAGAAAACAAGGGTTAAAGTTATAATTACCATGTGTGGTGTCACTCTCTCGCGTGACAATCGTACAAACGAAAAATAAGTACGACAACCAAGGTAAAATATAACGATGACTTTCTGTAACGGGTAATAATTTTTATTAACGTGTGCCCCTTGCCATTATCAGTTGGATGCCTTTTATTACCCCCGTACTCCGCGTACCCATACTATGCACACACCGCGAGAGGGATCCCCTGCGAGCCCTGCCGAGGCAGAAGATGACGGAAGTGGCTTCGATTACGCAAGAAAACCGCGCGAACCGCATCTAGAACTCGTTAGGCCGCGCGCGAGCCCCCCTCTCTTCCTTCTGCCAACACAGCATCGACAGACGAGGACGGAGCAAAGATAGAGAGAGAGAGAGAGGAGCAATTGAGAATATAATAGAGGTGCATGGGAATCGACGCTCAGGTGCTGTCTCTCTCTCTCTCTCCCTTTGCTCCGCTAGATGTGTGCGATAATCACGGGACGCACCGTTGCAAATATATATCTCATGTGCATACGCGTGTGTCTGCGGAGGATCATCACTTATGCCGATGGTAATAAATATATATATAATACTCGGGAGAAGAACAAAAGTATACATGTGCGCGGTGAACGGTTCTTTTGCTTTTTCATCCCAAGGATTTATACAATTTGTATGTCGCGCGCATAGCGACGAGTAATAAATTAAGATTTTCCTCTTTGACGCGTGTTAATTTTTACCATATACCGGAGGGGGTTGAAATTTGCAACCAGAAAAAAGAAAAAAAATATAGTCTCCAAAGACCTCGGCTTCTTTGGCCTCTGGTGACACCGGCTCGAGCCAAGGGGTGGCTTTTTTCGGGGTAGCAACCGTTTATGCGCGTTCGTGTATACGTTGCCTCGTTACGTACTCTCCTTGACCTCGGTCTGGTGCATACGTACCAGCACTCCCTGTCATATACTTATTAAGAGCGCACCCCTTCCCTTGCAGTGTATGTACACAGACATCACAAGTGGACGCGGCTGGGCTGCTGCTGCCAAACGAGCCACTGGCGCGACGGCACGTCAATCCACGGGACACGGCCTTTTGAAGGTATTCTAAAATCCGGAGGGGGAAAGTTGGACGCACGCGTGGATTATTCCTCCCCCCTACCCTTGTTTTTTTATCGCTTAGGGGGCGCTTTCAATATCACCGGATCGTTGCTGAAAAATACTAGTTCTACAAAGCAGGTGAGACATTTTTTAATTACGTTTTAGGGTCGAGCTGTGAATTCCAGCTTGTACGTGCACATTATGGAACGGGAGAGCACAATTAGATCGATGGAAGGGTACGTAAATCTGAACGAATAGTATATATACACATGGGTACTCACCTCGAGGTAGCCGACGCGTCCGTTGAAGGGGTAATCCCCGAGCCGGCGCTCCTCGTCCAAGAATTTTCCAGCCTTGCCGTTCACCGGTGGATAGAAGAGCCCGTAATTGAAACTCTCCTTCAACTCCTGCAAAGCCACCGGAATCAGAGAATTAAACCACGGCCAAGAAAGTTTGGGTATTTGGACAAATGCAGGCGATAATGCTTCTGCCATCTACTACGACTACTTTGGACTTGCTGAAAAATCCTCTCTTTTTTTTTTTCATTTTTTTTTTTTTTTTTCACGCATGACAGGCGCAAGCTCGTGCGACAATGGATTTTTTTTTGGAGACTTGCGGGCAATTTATATTCATTGGCGATGCACAAAAAATTACGGGGATGACAGTATTCAATACAGACGTTTCGTGTTTGGATTTTCCATCAGCGCTGGATACGTTTGATCTTCATTTCATGACGTGATCAAAAGACTGACGGAAAATCACATTACGTATCGTAATTCTTAAAAGTAGAGGTTGCACACGAGCTACATCTAATGGAGAGATAAATATTTTCATACCTACAATAGAATAAACAAGTATATCATGCAGGAGAGGCTATACCAAAACTTACACTCGGGTATAAGAGCCTTGATTTTCAGTACACCACCACAAGGTAAACATTGTAGTTGAATCACCAAAAAAAAAAAAAAAAAAATTGTGTAAAAACAACACTGTCCATGACCTTAGCCCAAGAGTCACCGGCGAGCGAACGAGTCCGCGGTCAATTTAACGCTAACCAGGGGGACAGGAAGGGGGGAAGCGACCGATCCCGATCAACTGGACTATTACCCCGACCGTAGCAAACCAACTGGTTTCAATTTTGGGCGCCGGGGTTTTCTATTTCCAAGTCGCGCATAATTGAGCGGCTTCGGGCACGATCGATCCGTGCACGCGGGAGAGCGAATTTCAAGCGGAGAAAGTAGGTGTACCTCCACTGTGAAATGATGCATTATTCAGGGGGGAATTGTTTTTTTTTTTTTTTTTTTTTTTTTCAGAAAAGGCAAAAGTTTGTTGGGAATCCTATAGAATTGAACGCGAAACACTTTGCGGGAAAATTGATACACACCTGGCAACCCGCGCCTATCATTTCCCCAAGGTGTTACTATTTCCCTAATTTTTCCCAAACGCTCTTTCGTATATTATATGAAAGTGTATAAACGACGCGAGTAGTATCATCATACCTTGCACGTAACCCATCACGGAGCAACAACATCGGGAGCGGCTAAAAAGCTCTCCCGCACGTGAACTCGCAATTTCACTTTATGACGCCTCGACGCCCCACCATCTTGGTCCCATTTCCGTACCTCCACGCCTACGCGCACCCCCTCCTCTACGGTATGGAGCCCAGGTCCCTTGAACGGGGCCTTCATTTTATTTTATACACACCGCACATAACACGCTCGGCCCTTTAATCTGCTATACGCTTGTGTTTATAGGTGTATGTATACATACATACCACGTGTAGTGCGTATACGAGTCTCATTTGTATGGCCATTGTTGCCCCGGCGCACTTCTTCTTCGTAGTTTCCAGCAAACGCTGATTATTGGTCTCACTTGAGCTTATGGCTTTTGGTTAAACTGCGCTTCCATTCCTTTTTTTTTTTTTTTTTTTTTTTTTTTCTTCCTTCCCCCCTCATAAGACAGAAAAGCACGAGAGAGAGAGAAAGAGAGATTCCATATACACATATACATATACATATACGCCCATATATTTTGTTTTGGACGGAAATGGGTAGTTTGAAACCGCTGCAGCGGAATCGTTTACGGGCGCGCTCGTAAAAGTTGCTTAGCGTCGCCGTTGCGGGAGAGATTTTTCGAAAATTGAGGTGAAAATTCTCCCCTTCATCATCGGATTATTATCCATCATTTGCAAGCACGACGACAAAGACGGACGACGATTCGGACCACCTGAAAATTACCGCGAAACATTTTGCAGGTAATAACAGCAAAGCGAAGATTACCTATTTTTTTCATTTCGTTTCTCTCTTTCGAGGAGCTCGTACTGCACGCGAGATTAGACCCTTTTTCTTTTGCCACACACCAGACAGCCACGGTACACACATGTCTGGCCTCTCGGGTGTATTTACACGGGGAAGAGACCGATGAATAGTGGAGCAGTTCCTAATGACCGCCCAAGGCCGCGGCGTGTACACGCGTACAAGCTGTCTGTGCACACACGAGCGAGAGGAAAAAGTTTCGAGCGTGTGTTTTTCGCGCAGGTGCTACCGTCTCTTTTTTTTGCTCCGACAAAATTTACCATTCGCCAAAACACGCGTTACGAAATAAACGCACTGGATGTTTACGGCCGGATAAAATTTTATTGTGAACCCCCTGGAAAAAAAAAGGTGGAAGGAGTGAGGGGATTCCTCGATGAGTCCCTGAGGAAAACATCGACGGCCGTAATAATGGTCACTCTCTCTCTCTCCATGAGACTTCTTTTTCGGCGAAGTTTCGTTGACCACGTAAGGCTCGTTTGGTATGTATATATACCAAAGTCAAAAGCTACGCGAGACGAACAAAGCACGTATAAGAAAGACAAGCAAAAAAAGGGCCTTCCAAAGCCTACGTTCGACGAGGGAAAGGAGGTTTTCGAAACCTTCGACCAAAAAAAGGAATTAATGCAAAACTGCCTGGAAATTGCTACCGTCCGATGCGAAATTTATCGGTATGTAGTTTTAAATTTATGTTGAAAGGCTCACGCTATATAAGCGGAGTGGGACAAAGGGGTCGATTAAAATTCCCATTGTTTTTCGGTTGGGAAGCATCAAGGACGTTTTTTGTCCCGCAATTTTCCATTGGCTCGCATTATATATACGTACCTACATCCCTATTAAGCGTCAAGGTGGCGGCCCTATTCAATCACTTTATTTCACGTGGTAACAATTTTCCAAGGTTTACGCTTTAATTTACGCAACCTCTGGTGCACTGAAAATGGGTGACGTTGAAAAAATTTGGCAAACAATGCCTCGGTAAAAAGTAGATTGACCGTGCACGTGAATGTAATTTAACGGCGGAAAATTTCGCAGCCAAGAAAGGGGCTAGGTTTTCTTGAATCTCTGCCAAGTATCTTTGTTCAGTTGTGCAAACACAATCGCTCCGCACCACTGGTAGGGAGACAGGGAATGCGCTAAAGTTTTTTCACCCCCGGGAAATTTTTCCCAGATACAAGTTTGTCGAACGAAACGAGGTTAAGTGTTGTTAAAAAAAAAAAAAAAAAAAAAAAAAAGACAATCGGAGAAAAAATAAAAGAGCTTAGTGCTTTTAAAATGTTGTTGTTAAGCGTAGAAAAGCAACCTTTTGAAAAAAAGTTAACCTCAGAAGTTGATTAGTTCTCTGTGCTCTTTTTTCGAGCGAGTGTTAATTGTGCACATGAAAAAAAAAAGGGACGAAAATGACAAAAGTGGCTTTCGATGCTCGTGGACACATCCAAGCTGACAGGTCTAGAGCGAAGAACGAGAAAGTAAGGGAAGGAAGTACATGGGGAAGATATTGACATTGGATGTGACGCTGGACAAAGAACTAATATAGAGTGGAAAAAGTTACGGGAAAGTCCCGAACAACGACTAGGAGCTCAAGTGCTGAGGAAGTACCCAAATACTTGAAGGCTGCGTTTTTGTCCCTCGAGATCATCACAATAGAAAGTATGACTTTACGTAGAAATTTTTATGCACGTAAGTACCGTCGAAAAAAAAAAATACAACTTGCGTTACAAACTCCTCCCTCGTCTGTTCGCAATGAGGTTACTATACTCCCTGATTGTTTCGTATCGCGGATAAACTGTATACCTGAGCCAAACGTCATAAATATAATACACGGAATACCAGCGCCAATAAAAGGTAAATCCTCGTAGTTAACGAAAATGAATTGAATTTCTCGCGAAAAGCTTTTCCGGGCTCTCGCAGGAGATTGGCATTCACGAAAATCCCAAATTGATCGACCAAAGCCAACATAGTGCAAACAAACACACGCACGGGGTAGAAAGAGATAAATGTTTTCTATACACAAATTGTTATTCCTGCTATATTATACCTTGCAGCGCCCGCGGTGATCGCCCCCCTCATTTGCATCTCATTAATATTTCAACGCGCGCAGCCGAAGCGCGTGGCGAATTTGTGCGCGTCTCTAAACATTTTTCAATCCACCGTATTACACGCGTTACTACTCGGAATGGCCCCGACGAGAAAAGGTTTTTTAAAAAAAAAAAAAAGCCCCTCGCGCGCTTTTTCCGTGTATTTCACGCCGTGGGCTCTCGAAAATAATTAGGCGAGCCCATCAATATGCATGAGAGCGCACGTGGTGCTTTTTGCGCTTATGTCCCCGAGGTACGATTCTCCCGAACGTGCTGGTCACGAGCTCTCTTTGCTTCATTTCGTTGCGCGGTTCGCGGAGACGCATTTTTAATACAATACGTATACCCAAACCCCGCGACTCTCATCGGCTCGGAAATTTCGTCCACGTCCCCTGCACGTGTATGTATACATCTCCCCTTTATATCCTGGAAATCGTTCGCATCTGCCTCCCAATTTGCCGGTAACCCTCCCTTGAATACCAAATACAGTCCTAATCTTCCGATGGATGGACTTTTCTTTTTTTTCTTCCTCTCGTAAAGTAAAATGTTTAACGAGCAAGGACTCTGCAATGACAATATCTATCCAATTCACGTACGATAGGGAAAAAAAAGGCTGCTCCTCTTGTTACCTTATTTATGATCCGATATGGGTGATATTTCAACCACGTGAGCCAACAATGTGAAACGTCCGAGAGTACGCAAGTACCGCAAACCCGTCCGAAGGAGCGATTAGAGGAAAAAAAAAGAAGGAACGGTATGTGTAATCCGGGTAATTCTCACTGGCGCGTCGCAATTACGTTCCGTCACACGCGCCGCCGTCCGCAGTCGGACACCTTCGATTACACGCTCACCGGGGCTTCCCCCCCTACTTCGTCCGCGAAGCACAGCCAATGTCGCGGGGGCACGGATTTTCCCTCCGGGAGGCAACCCACCCCGCGTTTTTGGAGTGAAAGTCGCTCCTTCTTCCTCGGAGTCGGCGCCTTCGTCTCCTTTTTGCGACGCGCGCGAGAGTATAAATTT